GAGAGAGAGAGAGAGAGAGAGAGAGAGAGAGAGAGAGAGAGAGAGAGAGAGAGAGCAGCAGGGAGATGGCAGGAAAAGGGAGTGATGTTTGATGGCTCAGGACCTGGGAGAGGAGCACCAGTGAGAATGTCAAGTCTGAGCACTATGGAGAAGGCAGCCATGGCATCATGGGTTGGAGAAAGGGAGCTGACGCCCTCCTGAAACAACACAGAGACCGACAGAGATAACTAAGAACAGAAAGAGACAGTGCAAAGGGAAGTGCCTGGCCACTGATATTGGTTAAGTGCTCCTTGGCTTGGGACCAGGAGGGACATAACAATATCAAGAAGGATGGAGTCAAGGTGAAAAGGCCTCCCAACGGTGCATTGGCGCTTCGCCCTCCCTGCCCTCACTCCCTGTCCCACACACAGGTGGTGTACTACTATACTGTTCATGTTCTAGAGTAGTTGAAACCATATCTGTGGTTTGCTACCCTACCTAGCCATGGGTTCAGTGTTTTTGTGACAACGAGTTTCCCTGATGAGTCCTGGGTGATGGGGTGGATTCCTCAGCTGGGTGCAGCCCGGGTGACTTTGCCTGGGGACATCTGCCCAGCACCAGCAGATACTCGTGGACTAATAAGTGACTTCCTCAGTGGGTAGTCATGGTTTGAGGTTGGCACTCATGGGAGAAAATGTCCAGAGAATAGACACAGCTGCAAGTCACGACAGAGGGGGAAGCTGGGGTGGGGGTGGGGAGACTGGCAATTCCTATGTGTTGGGGCTCTCCTATTGATTTAAAATAAGCCAGAAATGACAACTTAGCCAACAGGGACCATGGACCTCACCCCATGGGTGGCCTCACAACAGTTCCTAAAAGAAAACCAAAGATTCTGTGATGGGGAGAAAAAGACGCAGTTAATGACCTTCAGACTGTATAAATAATCAAATGTTGTTCACTGCAGGTCAAAGGGATTACATCTCACTGAAAGGAAAGAAAATGGCAGCATTTACAGACTTCCGCAAACCCTTTGGGCCTATACTCGAAGGTTTACTCTTAGCTCTTGGCATTTTATGAAAAGCAGGCCAACATGTGAGTGAAATCAGCAGCATTGTCAATAGTTTACCAGTCTCCCTTAAAGGAACCATTAACAAGGGAACAGTGATGTATGTGTCTAGCTGTGGGGGTGGTGCTTCGAGCAACTGTGTTTTTTTTTTCTTTGCCTGTTTTGAGGGGGGACTGATTGGCACAGTAGTGGAATTGTCTTACCTCTTTCGAAAAAGCCCTGTGGTATTTTTAAACTAAAAGGAAAAGAAAAAAATAAAACCGATTTGCCATTTGTCAAGAATAATGGGGCATTTTCCCTGAGAAAGAGCGTAGGCCAAGTCAGAATTTAGCCATCTAGCTCTGTGGGCTGATGAGGGAAACTATACTAAACAACAGAGATGTGGTAGAATCCACGTCCGGAATAGGACCCATGGCAGAAACAAGTAATATCCCCCAAACAATGGTGCCAGTGTTCCAAGGTGTTTGGTCCCACAGCGCACTGGCGAATCAAAGAACTTCAGAGCAGGACAAAATTTGGTCGAGATTGAATTTATAGAGAACATCGAAAAATCAGAGAGCTTGGAGAAGTAAGCTCAGAGGGCAGAGCCTTCCCTCCAGAATGGAAAGAGGTAGCATAGGCAGCAGTATTATTGCTCCCATTGCTAAGCAGTAGCAGTGGCCCAGTGGTAGGTAACACTGCCCCTGGCCCGTGATCTCTGGGAAGGCAGCAGTACTGTCCGGTGAATTCTGAGCATTTCGGAATGGATCCGTCCCCTTGAAATCAACTCCAAGAAAGGGCTGGATGCTACTGATTTTGGGCCCCACCCCTAGATAGTGGATTCTTCCATCATAAATGATACAGCAAAAGAAAATTTCTTTGTAAAAACACTCCTGATTTTGCACTGCCCCCTCACCCTTCTAAATAGAGCACCCGAGCTCCCAAACCCTCACATAATACACCAAAAGACAGGTTACAACACCAGAAGTAGCCCAAACTCACCAAAAAACCATTGGCAGATACAAAGGAAGTAAAATGGAAATCAAAGGCAAAAGAGCACTAAACTGAAACAAAAGAAAAAATAAACTACAGCTAAAAGAACAAGTCTAGCAGGACCACAGATGTAGAGAAATATTATAAGAGAACATGGCTTTAGAACATATACACCATCTTGACTGAAAAAGGACTAGACAGAGCAATAAAAGAAGAACTTAAAAGCCACGTTGAGCAGAGAATGCAAGACTGGAAAAAAGAGAAGAAAGAGTTGTGGGGAGGGTTGGGATTTTTTTTTTTTCGTTTTTTTGTTTTTTAGGGGGGGTTTGGTGTATATATATATATATTTATATATTTTGGGTTTTTTTTTTTTTGTTTAAAGATGATCAGAAAAGGGAAATCAAGACTCACTCCCAGCAGCGCTGGTGGGATTGGCAGCAGAGAGAATTACGTGAGTAGGGGTAGAAATATTGGTTACGTCATGGAGTTGGCTGAGGACCGAAGAACGTCGGCGCACGGCACCCTGAAATGAACCGCTTCTCTTGAAAGTACTCACTACCTCCATCTGTGGGAGAGAAAATGAGATAAAGTTTGGCTTGTACTACCCTCCTAGAGACGGTGAAGGAGGGAATGGGGTTAGGAAAGGAGAAAGGGGACTCGATTAGGAAAATATAATCAATTTGGATAGGGCTGGGCTGAGGTTGACCTCTGTGCTATCCATGAAGAATGGGCTTGTTGAAGAAATGATTAATTCGAACAAGATTGTGAGTGTATGGGGGAGAAGGGCATGGTAGGGGGTTACTGAAACTAATTAGGAGAACAAAAAGATTTTCAGGCATTTAAAAGATACCATTCAGCCAGGTCCCAGTTACTGCGACTAATGAACTCCCCAAAGCGGTCTTACGTATTCGAAGGTGCACTATTCGAAGACATCATTATTGTAAAGTACGGTCATTGGCTCTAGCCAATGGAAATACGCAGTGTGAATTCGAATAATGGGACTACTTCAAGGAGATTCATTATTTGCACGACTCTGGACCTAGCCGTATATACAACACGCACATTACAACCCACTTCTCCAGCCATTAAAGCAGACTTCTTAAGTACCTCTACTAGGCAATACTTAGTTAACCTATTTCTAATTGTTCTACATCCTCTACGAAAGTAATCATACTGCATTACTTCAAAACCATCTTCTCATTTATACTTTAAATTCTGCCTAGAGCGCCCTAAATGATCAAGTTCTTACTCTATTAATTACTCACTTTTATTACTCTGTCCAAATGATCAGATTTCTGAGTATCTTATTTTATCAGCCAGGAAAATATCCCCTAGGAAATATCAAAAGGAGAATTTGCTTAACTAAGAAGGGTAGACTTTCAAAACTGCGGCAATACAAGATTCCCACCAAGCCTGTGGGCTTGCTGGCACCGGGAAGAGTCCCTGCTCCACAGCAGTAAGGGGGCGGGGAGGGGACATGACATCTGCATTTTCCCTCCCCCCAAGGCTCAGAGCAACAATGTGGATTTTGTGCACAAGGTTGAGTCTGTTTTTAGATTTCTTATGAGTTGAGGCTCTGTGTGTGTGTTTTTTTAAATTTTTTTTTTAAGCTGTCTGTAGGGGCATGAGCACAAGGTAGTGAGAGAAATGAGTGATTTCGGATTATCACTGTCAGCACTCTGATCTTAGCTTCATTTGCTGCTGGTAGAACCTGTTCTCCTTTTGGGGTTGCTTGGAGATTTTTATTTCTTGCCAAATCAAGCCTAGGTGATATGACTCTGAGGCAACAAGGCCAATTAGACGAATTATGAAACAGACTCAAATGTTCACATCCAAGTGGATGATGTTCCGTTTTAGAGTTCTCCCCCTTGCTTCCCACACCACTTTGGGGGCTCCTCTTTGGGAATGGCCTATTCTATAGTCTTTGTATGTACTTCACAGGGACAGATCTGGGTCCTTGGAGGGTGCATCTGAATTCTGGAGGCATCCCAAAGTCATTGATTGTGGAAGGAGGTGGAGGGGGGAGGTCCAGGCCAGGCAGGAAATACTGTCTGGGGTCATAAACGTGGTGTGACCATAAAGGAATGAGATCTGATTTTCTCCAAGGCCATTGCCAAAGAGAAGGCCTTCCCCCCTTCTTCCCCCTTCCCTCCCCAGGCTGGGGCAGCCTCCCAAGAGGAGAACAATGGTCACTGGGAGGGGAAGGATACACTCTTGGCTGTTAACGGTCTCTCTCTTTTTTTTGAGCCCAACTCCACATGAGTTTAAAATCCAGAAGCTAAAGCAAATGTTTGATGAGCCCTTGCTTTCTCTTCCAGCCATGTATTCTGACTTTAGGTGGGGGGAAAGGAGGGTACCCACTCTTCTCCCCAAGCAATGAAGGGGCTACAGCAAGGACTTGGGTGGGTCTCAGGAATTGACTAGGTCTTTTTGGAAGCAAGACCCAAATGTTGTCGGCAGGAGGCCAGGAGGCAGAGCACGGGGCAGGGCTCCCTTCCGAGGCTGCTAGGCAAAATCCAACAATGTTGTGTGTGTCCCATTGCGCTCTGTTATTCTAGTTGGGGTGGAGAGCATTTACGAATTCTCATGTCTATGCGGCTGATTTGGCACCTACAACGGCATCAGCCAACTACATGTGTTCAAATAAAGGAGGCTTTGTGCATTCAGGTCAGGTTAGTGAGAGAGGCCCAGGAACAGGGCGAGTCAGTGTGGAGAAGCCTGCCCAGTAGCATCGACGGTTTCTTTTCTTTCTTTTTTTTTTCCTTCCTTCCTTTTTTTTTTTTTTAAGAACCATAGCATTGACGTGAGGCCATCCATCGCATTAGCCCTCATTTTTTCCAGGATATACTCTCTTTTGAATCAATAGACTCACATCCACCTTGCCCTATTAGCTGAATGTACCTCTGTTTATTCAAACCAGACATGGCATTTACTAGGTGTCCTGAGCTGAAAAATACTGGGCCTGTTTAGCAGGGTCACTTCGAAAAGCAGTACTGGGCTTAGGGCGCAGCGCAGGAGACAAAATACAAGTACAGAAGTGAGGATATTTAGGACCAAGTTGTGAGAAATAAGGCTTTTAGGCTGTGGATTCACCCAGCTGCCAACCTCAGGTAATTGAACTAAACATAGGTTTGGTCTAAATGAAGAAACAACGGTGAGGTTGTGCTTGGTGAAGGCATCCCTTCCTGTCCCATCCCCTCCTGCCTTTCCCTCCCCCACATACACAGTTGGGAAACCCAATGACTACCACTTAAACATGTCAATTAGGAAGGCACTTGGGTAGGATGAGCCCATGTCATTTTACCAGAAGTATTCAGGATGTCACTAAGAATTTCCCCATCCTTTCCCTCCCTTGTGGCGTCTTAAAGCTACACGAAGATAATCTTTTTGGACAGGTCTTTTAAAAGAGGGATTTTTTTTATTAAGAAAGGTCTGGGAAAGGGACAATTCAATTCTGAGATAGTTTCCGTGAGCTGATGGTTGATCTTTGCTTTTTCCTTTCTGCTTGGGTTAGATCGTCCTATATGCACAACAATAAAAAAAAAAAGACTTCTTGTGAATGCTAATAATTTGGAATGCTATAGCATAAACAGCTGGGGTTCTGGATGACTGGGCTGGAGAGAACTCTATTCAGAAATAGTATTGTACTAAGCCCCAGAATTTGGCTACTGGGTTGCATTTTGTCTTGTGTTCAACTAGACTTGCTCTTAAGATGGCGCTTAGAAGGTTAGGGAGAAAAGAGGGTGACCCAGATAATGACTCTAGCTTTAGTAGACCTTGTTGAAATTACTCTATTAAATATGTTTCCCATATTTAAACAGATTACCAAGTATCCTCACTCACCCAGGCTTCAGCATGGTCAGCTATGGAAACCAGAATGGGAGTTGATCTATTTCATCCATTTGGGCCAATGTCCCTCATGCTTTGAAGGAAGGCTAATTAAAATCCCACACATAATCCCTCCCTATACACCTCAACCCCTCTACCACCACCAACACACCTTGAATTCTATGTTGCACCATCTGGGAGAAGAATTCCCATGGAGAAAATCAACCTGGGCTCAGAGCTGGGAGGGAGGAGACCAGCTTACATTTAGAATAGAAGAAGAGATGGCTTAAAATAAGCCAAACATATTTGGTCTGGATAACCGGTTTGCACTGTCACATTGTTTTTAAAATAATTTGCATAGGCAGCTTCCCTGAGTGTCTATTTTTGTGAAGTAAGCTGTGTTGAATTTTGTACAATTGGAATTCTTTTCTTTTTGGGTCACCAACTAGATTTATTTGTTTTTTTTTGTTTGTTTGTTTGTTTTTGGTAAGGCAATTGGGGTTAAGTGACTTGCCCAAGGTCACACAGCTAGTACGTGTCAAGTGTTTGGGATTTGAACCACCAACTAGATTAAAAAAAAAAAAAAAGAAACAACAACAACAATATGGCAACCTGCTTTGTGAAACTGATCAGAATGGAAGAGAAGGACATCCCTCAGTGGTCTAAGCCCAGCTCTCCCATCCTCTGCTTCTTTCCAGTCTCTCTAGGCAGAAAAGCAACCAATGTTAACTAAAGTAAAATCATCTGGTAAACAACTGGGCACACCCCTCCAAAGAAAGACATGCACAACTGGATGCTATTTTCTTGAAAGGACACTTTAAGGGGATTTGAAGGACCTGAGTGGTGAACGTGTCTTTTTTCCAAAGCAACTGACTGTCGCTCCTCCTCCCACTTCTCCCCAGTGGTATACCTGAGTCTGGATCCTGTTAAGGCCTCGGAACCAGAGGATCTGGCCACGGCGGAGTTCCCTCTCAGCGTGGTCAATCTCTTCCTCATCTTCTGCCATCTCCTCATCGGTGATCTCATCTTTTCCCGGTCCGTGCCCTGCCTCTTTCAGGAACTTCAGCTGGCTGGTAGGGATGGTGGCAATGACCTGTGCAGTGTCAAAAGCCCCCAGAAGGCAAACAGAGATGGTTGTCAATGAAGGGCTGTCTATAAGAACTTCCCAGAGATCCAGCTTAATACAAGGCCTTGGGCTCTAGCACAAGTCCCAAGCAAATAATGTACCTATGAGGCTCTGTTTGCCCCTCTGGCTACTAGCATAGACTCACCAGGAGTGTGTGTGTGTGTGTGTGTGTGTGTCTGTGTGAGCACTCAGCTCATGTACTCTTATGTGGCTACTGCCCTGTTTCCCATTACAGCCAGGCCCTCTTATTTGCTTCTCCCCACAGGCTAGGCACTGCCCACACTCTGGGCTTAGTCTGGGCATTTAGCTCAGTGGTAAGCTGCGGTCTTATTCCTGGTGCTCAGATCCCTGGTTGCCCAGACTCTTTGCTCCTACTTCCTAGCCTGGGTTCTTGATCCCTGCTGCTTGACCTACTGAATTTGTCCTCCCCCCTCTTTCCTCTCTGCCTTACCTGACCTCCCTGGATTGGCACCATCTGCCCTCTTCCTTGACACTCTGCTACTTACAGAGACAGCTAGGTGGTATAAATACAGTCCAGGACTTGGAGTCAGGAAGACCTGAGTTCAAATCTGGATTCAGATACATACTAGCTGTGTGACCCTGGACAAATCACTTCACCTTTGTTTGCCTCAGTTTCCTCATCTGTAAAATGGGGATAATAACAAAACCTCCCTTCTAGGGCTGCTGTGAGGATCAAATGAGATAATATGTGTAAATAACACAAAGTCGGTGCTTAAGAAGTGCTTATTTCATCTCTACTTACTTGGGCTGGGCATTTTTCCCTGGGCTTGAGTTTCCTACTCTGTAACCATAGGGAGCTGGCTGGCTGGTTGGACTACATGAACTCTAAGTCTGTGATTCCACATTCTGTTTCAGGGGTATGCTGGAGCCAGCCTGGACAGGTTTTGAGTCTATTATTAAATTTTCAATGTGAGCATCTACACATTGGAAATTGGTAAATGTTACAAATTAAAGATGGATTTACTGTTTTGTCCATTACCCAGACATAAGAAAATGATGGTGAAAATCTTAATGATGCAGATTAAACATAAAAATGTGTCATGTACACTCCCTCCCCCCCAGAGAGCTGGTTGTTAAATATTCACCAGCACACCCCTGATTATTATAATATTATACAGTATATTGCACAAAGAGGTAGCCTTAAAGTCAGGAAGACCTGAGTTCAAATCCTGCATTTGACACATACTGTCTGTGTGATCCTGGGCAAGTCAGCTAACCTCGCAGTATTCTAGGGAACTCTCCAAGGCTGTAAGTTACAGAGCAGATATCAATCTGCATTAAAAGAGAACATTTCCCACTGGCAGCTCCCTACATTGACGAAATCGTAGGTTTGGACCAACAAAAAATTATACAGTAATAACTGACAATAGTAGCCAACATTTATTAAATGTTCACTATGTGCCAGGCACTGGGCTACGTGCTTTTTACAATGATTATTTCATTTGATCCTCACAATAACCCCTGGGAGGTAGGTGCTGTTATTA